CCTAGCAACGGCGACTAAAACTTGACTCGCTCCTACCGTCACTCTAGAAAATGGCCAAGTGTAACCACCTCCTAAAGTGTAGTATAGCGGGTTTGGGTTTTAATGTCAACCCGGGTCCTAAGTGTGATGACTACTCCGTGAGTTCTTATTATTTAGCGGTGAAACTTTAGTGAAGGTCCAAACAAGCAAACAAGCAAAGCAGGTAAAAAGGTTGTTTTCAAGTCGAGAGAGGTCACCAGGATATGGTCCCCCCTAGACTACAGTTAAGCCGGATTGTAATTTACCAAGTTCAAATCCAATGATAGTTATACTGAGTGGAATTACTCGTACTCCGTGAAGGGATTTTATGGTGCCTAAACCATGGTTTCACGGAAATAACATTCGAAAGAGATGCGAAGGTGATCATTGATAAGATCATTCGGGCGGATACCAAAAATAGTCAGATGGGGGTTATTCTTGAGGATTGTGCATTACTTCGCCGTCCATACGGGTTTAGTGTTCGATTTGTATGTCGGCGTAGCAATAGGGTATCCCATTTGGTGACTCGAATGTCCTTTTTTGTACCCAACTATGAGTCGTTTATTTGATTTTCAGGTCTGATTGACTTTCAGGATGTAACTATCTATGTTTTTTGAATTCATATATGATTATCTTTTGTAAAAAAAAAAGTGCCGGTCAATGGAACCCAAGCTATCCCTGAAAAGTCAAAGCCTCAAAGTTCTCATTCAACAATTTTTTTCCGCACATCTAATCGATAAGAGAATGTTCATGGTTGTGAACAAAAAAAAGAGAATGTTCATGGTTAAAGACCAACAGATGTTCGGACTAACGAGCTCCTCACTACTCAGCTCAAAATTCAAATGGCGAGGTCGGGCCGAGAGAACAAGGCCGACGGCGATGACCGAACCTCTTCCGGCGAGCCACACCACCAGCTAATCACGACCACCGTCTTCCCTAGGGATATCATCATCGAAATTTTCACTCGTTTGCCGGTCAAATCCCTTGTACGGTTCAGGTGTGTCTCCAAATCATTCAAAACCATCATTTCCAGCCCTGAATTCATTAAGTATCACCTGAGGAGGCTCAAATCTTCCACATATTCCTACCCCTTTCTCCTCATTCCATCCACCTCAAAGCTCGGGTACCGTTCCTGCCCAGTTGAATCTCTGTATATGAACCCACAGCAACTCGGTTTCGCCGATCTCGACCACTCACCGTTTCTTATCGAAGCCGATCGAAAACCGTACTGGGTTGTTGGGTCTTGCGATGGACTGATCTGCGTAGCCATCAAGAGGCGATTCCCGGCTCTGTGGAACCCATCCACCCGAGCTTTCTCTGTATTCCCAGAGTTCGAGATTCCTGAAAAAAAGCGCAGACGCTACATGGTGTTTGGCTTTGGATACGATCTCGAATCCAATGACTACAAAATTGTGTCCATCTCCTGCTACCCAAACAAAGATCCCAAGGAAATTCGTGGAGCAGGCTTTTCTGGGAGCCAGGGAATAGTTCACGTCTGTTCGTCAAAGTCCAGAAATTGGAAGAGGATTGAGGATTTCAAGTACGGCCTTCCGTACGATTATCCTGGGAAATATGTGAAGGGAACTCTTAATTGGCTCTTGGATAACGAATCGAGCTCTATTGTTTCACTTAATTTGGGCACAGAACAGTATGAGGAAGTGATTCAGCCGGAGTATCAGGAGGATGTTACCCAGAAGACGATCGGGGTATTGGAAGATTGTCTGTGCGTGATGTATCATCGCCATGGCGATTTCTCCGATTTATGGGTGATGAACGAGTTTGGATCGAAGGAGTCGTGGACCAAGTTGTTCAGAATCGAGTGTGGCCGGGATGGGTTTCAATCGCTGCAATATGCCATGCCATTGCACGTTACTCGGGGACGAGCTCTGCTGTGGCTGTGGTCTTCGTTGGCTGTGTACAATTACGAGGACGCCTCTGTTGTGCATCTGTTGTCCGCCGATGTTTGGTGCGCTCAGCTTTACATCGAGAGCTTGGTTTCTCCCGATGAGCAGGACAACCACTGATCCCTATCCACAAGCTTTTTTTTTTTGTTATCATATAGCAATGTTTCTCTCATTCTGTTCCTCCTTTTCTGCATCACAATGGCTGTTTGTTAGTGCCTCTTGGTCTTGTATTATATGTTAGATAAATAAACAAACACGTTTTGCTGTCTCCTTACGGTATAGGAGCTTTTAAGCTCATAAGAGTCCTTCCTCTTCCATCTCAAACTCTGTTTTTCTTCTCTTCTCCCGTTTCTTTCTTTTCTCTTTCTGTCTTCCCAATGGCCACTCAATCCCCAACATCCTCCGTCTCTTCTGCATCTGTTTTCTCCTCTGCTTCAACACTCTCGCTGACCAAAAATAACCCATTGACAATCAAACTAAATGCTTTCAATTACCTTTTTTGCACGCTAAAACTTGTTCCACTCCACCGTTAACACCGCCTCATGGGCCATGTCGATGGGTCTTCTCCTACCCCTCGGCAATTTCTAAATGCGCATCCAAATCCGGCATATTCCACCAGGTATGATGGTCCTCTCTTGGATTACTTTGTCTCTTTCTGAACCTGTGATGACTAATGTTATCAACAAGTCAAGCGCATTTGATGTCTGGTTTGTCCTAGTTCGTAGTTACGCCTCTGGATTAGAGATTAAAATTCGCAAGGTTAGAAAATTGCTCCAACACCTCTCTCGGGGTGATGCCTTCATTCACATCGATCTTCGGTGGGCTAAGCTGACGGCTGATCAGTTGGCTGCGCCGGGCACTATGGTCATGGTGCAAGAAGACGAGCTTGTTAGTCGGATCCTCGATGGCTTGGATGAGCCGTATTGTATGTTCACTCGCCACATCTAATCCAAACATGAGGTCTATCTCATGTGAATACATCCATCCCCTTCTGCTTAGTGAGAAGCTTTAGTAGAAGAAGCACACCCAGGCGGATGTACCTGCTAAAAGAGGTTTGGAGAAAATCTTGAACGTAATTCCATTGAATGAGTCTCTACTCTAAGAGAAATTTTTCGCTCCAACCTTGGTTGGAGCTACAGGCTCCAACCTGCCACTTGGCAGTTCACTATTGGTTATTTTATCTTTCTCTCTCTTTATTTTAAATGCTTTTATTATTGTTTTAAAATTAACCAAAACTGGAATAAGAAAAACAATATAAAATATGACGGAGACGGCATGGACGGAAATCTGTAGCCCCAACTTGTGAGCGAAGGGTTTGGTTACGCTTATATTAGGTTAACTTCTTCTTCTTGTAAAAACAAAAGCTGAAGCCGCACAAGCCATTGTTGAGTAAAACCCCATCTCGAGGAGCAGCAGGGAAACAAGGTTAGGTGATATATTCTTTCTTTCCACAATCCAACATAAAACAACAGTACATAGTAGTAGCCATGGTACGTGATTTGATTGGTAAAAGTAAATTGTAGGTAGGTAGTTTTGTTATTTCGTTTGGGAATTCTTAACTATTATATGTTTGTTGAGTTGATTATTGAAATCAAAAGCAACTGTACTATGGTGTAGAAGGAAAAGGCATGTCAAGACTTTAGTAATTTAACTTGTTTTCGATCCCCTCTTGCTAAGCTTTTTAGTTATGGGTGTTATGCAGATATGAATTCAAACGTAGGAGATGAAGAACAAAATCATCCTACGGGTTTGAATAATCAAGTACCACAAATTGGGATGAAGTTTGACTCTGATGATATGGCTTATGCATTTTATAGTGCATATGCACATGGTCTTGGATTCAGCGTAAGAAAGCAATTTGTCAAGCGAACTTCAACAGGAGAAGTAAAAAGAAGAACATATACATGTGCTAAAGAAGGCAAAACTGCAAAGAAAAAGGGGAAGCAGGTTGCTTATGAACGGCCAATTACCAGAATAGGTTGTCTAGCAAAGATGACGTGCAAACTACAAAATGATGGTTTGCTTGAGGTGGTTTCTTTTGAAGCAAAACACAACCATGATTTGGCTCCCACTCCGATGAAGCACATGTTGAGATCCAATAGAAAGATCAGTGTTGCTCAGAAAGCTATTGCAGATGATGCTGAAAAGGCTGGGTTACCAATCAAGTCGATTATTAATTTACTAGCGGTACAGAATGGGGGTCGTGAGAACAATGGATTTCTGGATACTGATTACTACAATTATATTGATTCTCAGAGAAGGGCTAAAATGATTAAGGGTGATGGTCAAGCAATCATGGACTGTTTTCAGAAATCACAATCAGATGATCCATCGTATTTTTATTCTGTGCAGCTTGATGATGATGATCTTATTATGAATATGTTTTGGGCAGATAGCAGGTCAATAGTTGAATACAAGCACTTTGGAGATGTTGTATGTTTTGATACAACCTACAGAATTAACAAGTATGGTCGCCCTTTTGCTCCTTTCGTTGGAGTCAATCATATGAAGGAGACAATAATTTTTGGGGGAGCATTACTTTATGATGAAACAATCACATCATTCAAGTGGTTATTTCAAACCTTTCTGACTGCAATGGCGGGAGCACAACCCAAGACTATATTAACAGATCAGTCAGCTGCTATCGCCAGAGCAATTGAAGAGGTATTTACTAAAACCCATCATCGTTTATGCGTTTGGCATATTTACCAAAATGCTGCTAAACACTTAAGCAATGTATTTCATGCATCTAGTCAATTTGCTGGTGATTTTGGTGCATGTGTATATGATTATGAGGATGAGGATAAATGGTATGAAGCTTGGGATGCTATGCTTAAAAAGTATAATTTGGAGAACAATGAATGGTTGCATGGGATTTTCTTGGAAAGAGAAAAATGGGCCATGGTTTATGGGAGACATATGTTTACTGCTGATATGAAGAGTACACAACGTAGTGAATCAATGAACAATGTGTTGAAGAAGTATTTGAAGCGAAAACATAACATGGTGTACTTTTTTGAGCATTATGGTCGCATGATAGAAGATAGACGGTATAAAGAGCTCTTGTCAGAGTTCAAAATGAGGAACACCAGCCCAAGATTGAGAGCAGATGTTGAGGTGTTAAGACAGGCATCAGAGATTTATACTCCCAATGTGTTTCAAATGTTTCAAGAAGAATACCTCAAAGTTTGGGATTGTACCATTGATAAGATTAGCAAAACAGAAGTTGAAGTGGTGTACAAAGTGATATATGTTGGTAGAGGTACAGAGCACCAAGTCCGATTTGAGTTTTCTTCTCAAGGTGTTGAATGCAGTTGCAGAAAGTTTGACTTTGTGGGAATATTATGTGCTCATGCTTTGAAAGTTCTTGACAAGAAAAATATAAAGCACATTCCGAAGCAGTACATAATGAAGAGATGGACAAAGGATGCCAAAGATGGACAAATAAGAAGTTCAACTCAAATTCAAGGAGGGTCTAAGGAACTCATTGGGAAGCGTTACTTGGATCTTAACTACAATTTTCGAGAGATATCCACCCTAGCAGCCGAGAAAGACACTATGTATGAGCATACATGTGGAGTTCTTTCCAAGTTGTTGAAGGATCTGCAGGAGATGAAAAAATGCTCACAAGGTGGAGTGTCTGATGAGGGATTATGCTCAAAAGGCGAACAAGATTGTCCAATTGTAGCTGGAGTCAAAATCAAAGCTACAGTTGCACAACCAAAAGGCAGATTGAAAGGTGCATTGGAGCGAAGTAAAAACCATAAAAGTCAAACAAAGTCACTCACAGGTTCTTTTTTCCTGTCTTTTTTGTTGCTTTAAAAGAATACTGTAATATGACCTTATTATACTACTATAATTATTATATTTCAAATAACATTATATGTAGGGTAAAAAAGTGAAAACAAGTTCTTCTCAACAACTTAAAAATAGTCCTGAAGTTCAAGGTAAAAAAACTCAGGTAAATTGTTTTAGCTTGTCCTCTTTTGTTTAGAAGAAAACTATAGTATTTTTTGCTTCTTATGTGATTCTTGTATTTTATAGGGTAAGAAGAAAGCTGGTTATTCTCGACAAGTTGAGAGTTGTCCTGTGGTGCACATCCAAAATGATAAGGTTTGTTTGCTTCAACTTATTTTACATATAAAAAAACACATAGTATATTTGTTTTCTTTTATCAAGTGAGATATATATATATATATATATATATATTGATATAATTTTTAAACTTTTAGGCGGTCATTGCACAATATGAATCTCAGAATTCGATTACTATACCAACAAATATTATCCATGAAGAGCACATTGACTCGACAATATCTTTCAATCATATGTCATACACTCAATTGTTACAGGTATACGAAATAATAATAATTTTATTTATATTTTATCATTTTACTTATTACTATTTTAACTTGATGTCTATTTATCATTTTGCAGGATGCAATAGCATATTCATATTCCGATGTTCCAAAATTGTGATAGTAGCATCGACCGATTCATGAATTAGGACCTGAACTATCTCATAGAATAACAGACAAGTCCCTTGATTTCTTAAATAAAGTGCAGCAAGCCATGATTGAACTATACAATATTGTAATTTTATTTACATTCGTAAGCTGCATATCTCTTGCCAATTGCCATGCATGTATACTACTACTGGCACTTTTCATTTCAATTATAAAATAAACAAGCATTTTTTTCTCATCATTATGATGCTACCCAGCTACTGTAAATGATGATCATTAACACAGCTACTGCTACCCACCAAGCAGCAAGCTTACAAGTAGCTACAGTGACCAAGAAGAAGAGAACAAATTAAGAACTGAAGGGTAAGAAAGCTAGAACCACCGGTTAGTACTGACGAAACAATGCAATCCCTTTTATCATCATCAACTCGCTCTCTTTTCCCTGCGAAGAAGAAGAAGAAGGGGGAAAAGGTGGACAGCTTTCTGAGGGGAAAGAACCAAGAAAGTTGTATGAATTTGCATAAGAAGAGCATAAATAAGTTTCATTTCAGTTCAGGAATCACATTATTATTACAGAAGGCTAGAAATAGAGAATTGTCGTTTTGCGGTCGACAGGCAAGGGGTGTGGTTAATTTCCGTCCATGCCGTCTCCGTCATATTTTATATTGTTTTTCTTATTCCAGTTTTGGTTAATTTTAAAACAATAATAAAAGCATTTAAAATAAAGAGAGAGAAAGATAAAATAACCAATAGTGAACTGCCAAGTGGCAGGTTGGAGCCTGTAGCTCCAACCAAGGTTGGAGCTAAAAATTTCTCCTACTCTAACTAATATACAGGGGTATTCAACAGAATGGAATCCCACGTTCCACAGGAACATGATGGAAGTGGGAGAAATGAATGGAAAATAAAAATACTTTTATTTACTAATTATCTATAATACGCCCCCACAAGATGGAGGAGGAATCAACGACGCCAATCTTAAATCACAGTAGAAGGAACCGAATAGCACGAAGTGACTTAGTGAGAGAATCGGCAAGTTGTTGAGCCGTGGGAATGTAAGACACACGTAGGCGACCGGCTTGGACAAGTTGACGAGCAAAGTGATAATCCAATGCTAAGTGCTTCATCCGTGAATGAAAGACCGGGTTGGAGCTTAAATAGGTGGCACCGAGATTGTCAGTGTGAAGATTCGGAGGAGACGCCAAAGAGATCCGGAGCTCAGTGCGAAGATTCTTAATCCAATCATGCTCAGCGGCAACATGTGCAATAGCCCGAAATTCCACCACCGTGCTAGAACGAGCAACGGTCCGTTGCTTCTGAGAACACCAAGAGATAAGGGAAGTGATGAACCACCAAGTGCTACGTCCGGCCAACGACGTTCCGCCCGAGCCCATCACCCCAATCCCCGCTACACGCGTGAGTAATCCTCGAGGGTGGGATCCGTTGCAGCTGCTTGCCAGTAGAATAGGAATTGTTCCTTTATTGTTATTTTGTTGTTTAACGTTGGAATGTTTGTTAGGAGAATAAAGCACTTCCACGATAGGTGGGATGTGGAGTTAGAGTCCTGATTTTTAGTCTTCTTTGTTATGAGTTGAACAGCTTATAAGCTGGATTGTTAATGGAATAAGGCAAGCATTGTTTAGTAAAGAAATCCCCTCTGGTTATCTCTCGCCAAGAAAAGAGTGAACTGGCTCAATCCCGCCAAGAAAGTGGATCGTTACATTCGTATAACTTTAGCCCTTATCATCTGGTATCAGAGCCCGGCATGGGCACCCACGCTCAGCGGATCGAGGCTCTCGAAGCCGTCGAAACCAGCAACCAGCAAAACATCCAAGCCATCCAGGATCAGCTAGCTGCCCTGCAGCTCGCTATGACGCAACTCGCTCAAGCCACCGCGGTAAAAAACGCGCCTCCGCTATCGGAGGAGGGCGACAAGTCCGTCAACGGCGGCTCCTACCACACGCAACATGATGACCGTGGCAAACAGCCAATCTTTGGAGTGAAGCTCGCTCGCCTCGAGTTTCCATCCTTCTCCGGTGATGATCCAACGGTTTGGTTTTCTAGAGTGGAACAGTTCTTTGAGTTCCAGGAAATTCCCGAGGATCAGAAGGTCAAACTGGCGTCCTATCATTTAGAGGGTGACGCAAATCAGTGGTGGCAATGGCTACGACGAACATATCAAGCGGAGGAACTCACCATCACCTGGGATGTTTTTTCGTCCGAGCTCTGGTCGCGATTTGGCGGCACAGCAGGCACCGGATTCGATGAGGCGCTTTCTCGGATTCGCCAAACCGGGTCTTTGAAGGATTACCTCACCGAGTTTGAACGGTTAGGTAACCGGGTTCGCGGCTGGACTCAGCAAGCGCTCGTAGGAACTTTTCTAGGCGGTCTCAAACCCGCCATTTCCGACGGGATCCGGATCTTCGACCCCAAGACCCTCAAGGACGCGATCAGCCTTGCACGGGCACGCGAGGAACAACTGAACCGTCAGCATAGTCCGCCCCGCCAGCCGTTCCGATCAGCTTTGGATTACATGACGCCACCACGGCCCAAACCGCGCGCGACTTTTGACGCGTCCTTTGCCCCTCGGCCTCGGCCATTCCAGGCAGCAGAGGCAGTGCCGAATCCTCCCCCACTAGCGGCGGCGAACTACCGCCCACGACCACCAGGATCAAAGCGACTCAGTCACGAGGAAATGCACCGACGCCGCCAATTGGGTCTCTGCTTTAATTGTGACGCTCCTTACTCTGCCACTCATCGGTGTCAAGGAGGCAAGCTATGGATGATGTGGGACGAGGATTATGAGGAAGTAGAAGAAGCGGAGGTATCTTTCAATGCGATCACGGGGTTGACAAGCGGCCGAACGATGCGGGTGTGGGCTGAGATTCACGGCGCCCCATTAATGGTCCTCATCGACAGCGGGTCGATGCATAACTTCATCAGCACCCGCGCCACCGACTTGCTACACCTACCGGTATCCTCCATTCCAGCTATTCACGTCAGAATTGCCGATGGTACGCCGTTAGAGTGCGTTGGCAAACTTGAGCAAGTCCCCCTTCGGGTCCAAGGTACCGATTTTAAAGTAGACCTTCATACCATTCCCATATCTGCGTTTGACATTGTTTTGGGCATACACTGGCTGGCCACACTCGGCACCGTCCAAAGCAACTGGAAATTACTAGAGATGGAATTCTTCTGGGATGGCAAATTGAGGAAGATTCAAGGCCTCCAACGAGCTCCCCCGACCGCAGCGAGCCTTGAATGCCTCATTAAGGAGGAACATACCATGATGGCCCTTTGCGTACCGGTCAACAACCACGATCCCTTGCGCCCAGTGTCTCTAGAGCTCCAAGCCCTTATTCGCGAGTTTGGGGATATTTTCGAGGAACCACAACAACTACCGCCAAAGCGAACGATCGACCACAAGATTACAGTAAAGCCAGGCGCGGAAGCAGTTAATGTTCGTCCATACCGCTACGCCCATTTCCAGAAGACAGAGATCGAAACTCAGGTCAACAGATGCTAGCGGCAGGTCTCATTCAGCCGTCGACCAGTCCCTTTTCCTCTCCGGTCCTATTGGTCAAAAAGAAAGACGGCACCTGGCATTTCTGTACGGATTATCGGGCGCTTAACTTGGTCATCGTCAAAGATCGCTTCCCAATTCCAACAGTCGCCGATATGTTGGATGAACTTCATGGGGCAGCATGCTTCACGAAACTTGATTTGCGAGCTGGTTACCACCAGATTCGCATGGCCACCGAAGACATCCCCAAAACTGCTTTTCGCACCCATAACGGTCACTATGAATATTTAGTGATGCCATTTGGTCTTTGCAACGCCCCGTCAACGTTCCAGGCCATTATGAACGAGATTTTCTGACCATTACTACGCAAATCGGTGCTCGTATTCTTCGACGATATCCTAATCTACAGCCCGGACAAGGAAAGTCACCTCAATCATGTGCGCCAGGTATTCCAAATCCTCCGGCATCACAAGTTCTTTGTCAAGTTCAGCAAATGTGCTTTCGGGCTGCCCGTCATTGAATATCTCGGCCATTTCATATCGTCCGAGGGGGTACGCGTCGATAACCGGAAGATCGCCACCATGGTTGACTGGCCAACACCGACGAACAGCACCGAGCTCCGCGGATTCCTCGGGTTAACGGGCTACTACCGCAAATTCGTGAAAGATTACGGCACCATCGCTCGCCCTCTTACTAATCTGCTCAAACGCGGCCAGTTTGAGTGGTCCGATACGGCGGCAGCAGCATTTCAAGCTCTAAAACAAGCCATGTCCACCACGCCCGTCCTTGCTCTCCCGGATTTCAGTATCCCATTCATCGTTGAAACAGATGCTTCGGGTTCCGGACTTGGCGCAGTTCTGATGCAACGAGACAGGCCCATAGCTTATTTCAGTCGCGATCTCGGCAAAGCCAAGGAGGGCCTATCAACGTACGCAAAGGAAATGCTGGTTGTGATCACGGTTGTTCGGGCTTGGCGACCATACTTGTTGGGCCGCAAATTCACTATCCGCACTGATCAAAAAAGCATCCGCCACCTATTGGGCCAGCGCATAACCACGCCCGATCAGCAGCAATGGATTGCTAAGCTACTAGGCTATGACTTCGACATTGTCTACAAACCCGGCCCAGAAAACAAAGCGGCCGATGCTCTTAGTCGGCGGCGCCAGGACGATTCCCTACTAATGGCCATCTCCATCCCTTTCACGTCACTCTGGGACTCCATCAAAGACACGGCTGCTACTCACCCTTACATGATGCAGGCACGGCGACGGGCGAATTCCTCCCGGCCAGGTCCCTTCTCCATCCGCAACAACCTGCTGCTCCGCCGCGGCAGAGTAGTGGTTCCCCCCACCTCCGGCCACATCGCACAACTCCTTCATGAGTTTCACGCCACGCCGATGGGCGGTCACTCTGGCGTGGAACGCACCCATAAGCTCCTGTCTTCTCAATTTTATTGGC